CTTTGCTCTGAATGCCTTGATAAGTGCAAATAAATCACAGACTAAGTTATTTTCACCCTGCAACTTTAAATTCAAATGGTTCATATGGTTCACCAGACCAGCAAAAAATGCTAATTTCCAAAGCCACTCGGTATCTGATAAAAGTGGTTTGTGATGGTTTTTCTCGGTAAGAAATATATCAATTTCATTCCTGAGCTCAAAGAAGCGCGAAAGAACCTTTCCACAGCTAAGCCATCGAGCTTCAATATAATATGTCAGGTCAGTAAGCTCGGAATCACATTTACCAGTATTCATTGGAAAATTAGTTCAATTGGCACATTTCTGCACAATTCTTCCGCGGGCCGGATAAAATCACATAGCGCGCCGGATGTGGCCCGCGGGCCGTGGTTTGGAGACCCTTGGTCTACACTGTAGCAGTTAAACCGTAAGTATTTAAGTTAGCATACAATTCTTAACCTATCATCGAAAAATCTTTCACATTTTTTAACATTTTTAATAATGTGGGCCGCGCCATAGCTCAAGCGGTTAGTCGCTGGCTTCCCACCGCGGCGGCCCAGGTTCGATCCCGGGTCTGGTCAAGTGGGATTTGTGGTGGACAAAGTGGCGCTGGGGCAGGTTTTCTCCGAGTACTTCGGTTTCCCCTGTCAATCTTCATTCCACCAATTGCTCCACAATCATCCTCACCTATCATCTGGGGCTGGTACTATAGGCCAGAAGTGGCCGCAGTATAAGGGACTTAGTCCCACCCCATTAGCAATAAAAACAAACAAAACAAAACATTTTAAATGTATTTTTAATATACCTTTGATATGTCTATCGGGGCACGCGGTAGAGTAATTGGTTGAGGCACTATGCTACAAGCCGGAAGGTCGCGGGTTCAAGTCCCGACGAGGTTATTAGATATTTTTCAGTTGACCTAAACCTTCCAGCCGCACTATGGCCCTGGGTTCGACTCAGCCTCTAACAGAAATGAGTACCAGGAATCTTCCTGGGGGATTAGACGACGGCCGGCACGTAAGGCTGACAACCTCACCGCCATTTTTGAGCCGTTTGTCTAGAAAATATGGGAACCTCAACATCTCACAACCCTATGGGCCTCTACGGCCTATTACAGGGATACCTTTACTTTACTATTAATATGTCTATCAATGCCATATGAGGAATTCCCAGTTATCATATTAGTCTCTAATTTAGCCCAACATCCATTTAAGCCATGAAGCGCCACTGGATATTAGGTTCCATTAAATTAATTATAATATCTTACTATTTGCTTAGAGGAACTGAGGAAAACTTTGAGGATAGCCACTCTCCAACAGGATTCAAACAGTGTACCACCTTAGTGCCAGTTTCACTTGTTTCAGTGTAGTGTATAATTGCTCCAGAATTTCTGCTCATTTGCCAAGTAAGTCAGTTCATTTGAAGGAAATGTATGTCTGAAATCTACATCAATCGATGAATTCCCACCAGTTATCGACAGCATTTTCCAGTAACAATATGCATTTTAGGATTCTAGGTGTACTGGAAAGTCCTGCTAAATGGAATGCTCATTCTTCTTTTGATATATGCACAGATGAAGCAGAGACCTCAGTTCGAGATAGTGAGAGCATGTGAGGATGATTGTGAGACAATGTGCCTGTTCTTGAGAGAGAACTACTATCCTTTTGAACCAATTAACATCGCCATGGGTCTGGACAGTGGACACAGCATAGCAAATGAAGCTCACCTACTGGACTTTGTTAAGGAAGGGACTTCGTTGTTGGCAGTTGCAACAACACCTCAGAAAACACTGTTGGGTGTCTGCATTAATGGTGAAATATTCAGTGATGAGAATATGATTGAAATAGTCTCAAATTGTACATGTGAGAGGTATGCCAAGTTCCTCCAATTTATAGAAACTGTTGATCGATGTTCAGAATTCTGGAACAGAGTAGCAGTTGAACGGGCACTCTCTTCTGAAGCATTGGCTGTACTAGGGTCAGTAAGGGGTCAGGGAGTTGGAAAAGCGCTTCTGGAGAAAACACTGCAGGTCGCGAAAGATGATGGCTTCCCATTGCTTAGAGTGGATTGCAGTAGTTACTACTCGGCAAAACTGGCAGAGCAGATGGGACTTGAATGCATATATTCTCTGCCATATTCTGAATACAAAAATGAGGATGGATGTCAGATATTTGATCCACCTAGTCCACATGTGGAATATAAATTGTTTATTCACAAGTTCCTCTAGATGAGCTGTCCACATGACATTTCAGTAGAGGTGATGGCTGACTAATTAATTCACTAAGAAATTATAAATGTTAGTAAAGCAATACTGCAAAATACTAAATACATGGAAGTAACAAAAAAGGTTATATGTATCTGTATCTTTAATTAAATTCCATAGATACTTAACTGGCTACCAAAGCTGTCAGATATAGAACATGTCACATATACATTCATTAGTTCTAAACACAGAACTAGTCACATTCATCAAAGAAACAATAATTATACATAAATGAGTAATTTAACAAGCACAGTGGACTCATCAACTTGACAGTAATACTTTATTAAGATCATAGCTTAAATATATGACAAAATATCACATTATAATCAATTAATTTATACAATGTACTATATAAACAGCATTATAAAACGTTCAGTTCATCTTGTATTTAATATACTTGTTAAATGTAAAAATGAATGGAAATATAATATTTTTCAAGGCCGATTTCAGTTGTTTTGTATTATGGGACAAATCCTATATTTGAACAGGTAAACTGTTAAAACGCCTTAATCCCATTATAATACTTGTATGTTCCCTTCTGATAAACTGATAAATGAGACGGTGGGTGATGCAAGTCAGATTTGTCCTAGTATTAATATTATGTAAACCAGAATTTACTTTAAAATGATGTTTATTATTGATCACAAATAATGAAAGTGCATATACTCGTATACTAAAATTGTAGTGGTAATATTTTTGATTCTCTAAAATATTCTCTACATATATCTCCATCTCTAATCCCCACTATAATTCTAATAATTACTTTTTATAGTCTAGAAATTATATTGCTATAACAAAAAGTTCCCCAAAATTTTAGTCCGTAAGTCATGATAGAGTGAAAATAGGAATAGTATACCATCTTCAATGATTCTTGGGACAAGAGTGGCTTTACTGTTCTAATCTCGAAGCAAGATGAACTAATTTTGAGCACAACTGTGTCCATACAAATCTTCCAAGAAAATGTTTTGTCCAGTGTTAGTCCAAGGAATTTTGCATTATAAAAATTCAATGTTTTCTTGTTCCCATTCATTATATTTAAATCAATTAACATCTTATTTATAAATTGCATAAATTTTATCTTATCGACATTTAGCAACAATAAATTAGTAGTGAAACACCTATTTATATCTTGAAAAAATTTATTAACATTATTTTTAAAATTTACGGGGTTGAGGCTAGTAATGATGCACTAGTGTTGTCTACAAACAGAATGAGTTCAGCATTATCATTTATTGTTTTTGGCAAGTCATTAATATAAAGTAAAAAAAAAAATCAATTGACTAAGTGTTGATCCCTGTAGGACACTATTCTTTATCTATCCCCAGTTTGAACAGGAGTCACGGGAATTGTTGTATAAGGTAATGCTTTGGTATGTACCCTCTAGGTTAGATTTAATTAGTTTAAGAGATGTTCCTGTTATTCCATCAAACTCTAATTTTGTTAATGAAGTGTTGTAAGTAAAACAATCAAAAGCTTTCTGTAAGTCACAAAAGATGCCTCCAACCATCATTCTGTTATTCGATGCATTTAATATATCCTCACTCAATCTACATGAAGCCTTGTCTATTGATGCAGAAGATCTGAAACCTAATTGTTCCTCTACTAAAATGTAATAATTTTCAATATGTTGCAGAAGTCTTTGTATATGATTTTTGCAAAGGCCTCAGAAAATTAAGTTAATAAGAGATCGGTCTGTAATTAGTCATGTTTTTCTTATCACCCTTCTTGAATAATGGTTTTACAGTAAAATGTTTTAAACGAGTAAGAAGGGTTTCAGATATTGTAGATTTATTACAAATATAATTTAAAGAATAAGAGATAAAATGAGCGCCTGTGGAGGGAGATGAAGGAGGAGGAGGACCAGCCAGCTCACTGGTGACAGAACCAGAAGATTCAGCACTACTAGTCTGAAGACTAACCATTGGACTTGATCCTGCACCAGTTCCATGCACCCCCCCCCCTTCCCATCTTCTCCTCTCTTTTCATGAGATCCATCTTAATATTATCCTGCCAACTTCTAAGTGTCCCATGTACCCACTTTCCAAAACATATTCCTGATAAATTTTGTAATGAATCTCTTATATCCTTCCGCCTGTGTTACATTCCCAGCTCATCAGCATATCCTAGATTTCACTAGGATAAGGGAACTAGGTCACCTATAGAGATCATACTCATGTAACTCCCAATATCTACTATTCTCAGTTCACGTTATCCCTCCTATGTGCAAATGTTTTCATGTAGTTTATGGTCTTCCCCAGAGCAAGAGATTATGTTTCACAACTGTATGACATGACTGACAAACTTAATAATTTAAAATTGTTAATTACTGTATGATATACAGGAAGTTATACTTTAAATGAGTAGCATAATTTATCATAACTAATTTTGTCTCGAGATCAGTTTTCTTGCGAGCATCTAAACAAATATTTGTGTTATACATTTTAGTTTTCATATTCTTGAATAAGTCAAGTGGGATTTGTGATGGACAAAATGGCGCTGGGGCAGGTTTTCCCGAAGTACTTCGGTTTCCCCTGCCAATCCTCATTCCATCAAATTCTCCATAAACATTATCACCAGTATAGGCACAATAGGACATATGGAAGCCGACATGCTGAGGGGACCTAATATGGATTCCACCTCAGATTATGGGAAATCTTAACTATTGTAAACAATTTTAAGTATTGTAACTTTATTCTCTTATTGTAATCAGCCAATGTACAGTAACTGACTCGTCCTATATCATGTAACAATGATCTATAGAGACGAAATAAATACATACATACATACATACATACATAAGAAATTCCTTAATTCAACATGAGCAAGAACATTAATACATCAATTTCTCTTTTTTCGATTTCTGTGAAACACTGCATTCTAAAATAACTTGCTTATGAAATTTAATAACTGGTGGGGAAAACAGAGTTTAGAAAACTGTAAAGAACTGACCTGCAATATGTGCTATACTTATGTAAATATAAAGTCAAGGACTGGGCATTGTTGTTCCATTCTTTTGATATTATAATGTTCTTGTAATAATAATAGAAGTCTTACGGTACCAGAATTTTAAAATCCAATATTTACTGACATATTTTGCATAGAATACAGTACAATTTGTAGTTTAGTTGTTATCAGGTAGTTATTATATTAATTCATGTCATCGGCACAAAGCTTCAGATATACAGCTTTTAAAATCATGTTCAGGTTTCTTTCTAAATTGGTGATACAACCTTCTTGTGGCTTATGATTCTGTTAATTTACATATCTTATCGTTCTTCATTGTTAAGCTCTCTCATATTTAATTTATTTTTATTCAACAAATGTCACATCAGAAGAAACTAACAGTTCGATCCAGACACACCAGTGCAAAAGAAAATAAAATTATCATGCTGTGAGGTACCTGCCTATCACTGGCACATCTGTGGCACAAAAATTGAACTATGAAATGCAAATCATATATATAATCATGAAGAGTCGGTCAGGTTATACCAACCTTGCTGATTTAGCAAGCTTGTGGTGTGACAGGCTCTGTATCCAATGGCTTCAGCCTTGTATGGATGTGCTGGAATGTGTAATAAATACAATACAATACAATACCTAACCTACAAGTTGCCAACCTCCTTGCTGTTATGCAGAATCCATATATAAGAGTTCCAAACTGAACTGGCTGATTGAGTTTGTTATACATGCCATATAGGTGGATTCCTTATATTTCCTGTACCCACTGTTAATTTCAGTTTTCAAAATCCTGGCTTCATCCAACCTACCTTCTTCATGGACATGTTGGGCTAGTTTTGTCTTTTGTAAAGGACTGTCTGAGAATGTGACGCTGCACAGTTAGTGGTCTGCATATTTCACTAACAGCTGTTGCCACAGAGAATGCTATAGGTGCAATGTGCTGCCTGTTGCAGATATCTTACCAGTCTAGTTCCCATGAATGGACTCCTAAAAATATTTTGTTTTGAAGGTAGTTTTAATGTTGAAATGATTCCATATCTGTTATGAATTGCATGGTTCAGTTTGTGGAGCATCTGAAAGTAGCAAAACAACATTGACAGTTTCATTTCTTGGCTGGAAATCAACCAGTATGCACTCCTCAGCATTCCAGAAGAGTGTGACAATGATTTTTTCAGCTGAAGGTATGGTTCTGGCCTTTTCTTTGTAAGGTGTGAATAGTCTCAGAAGCTGGAGTGCTTATAAACTCCATGTCATACTGCTATCACTGCTTCTTTGGAAATAAACAGCAGTTTTCTTTTGTGTGGAACCAGCTTTCATTACCAGTCACATTGTTCAGTAGGAAGTCATCGCCTCTGAAGTGCATCATTGAAGCAACTGTGGTGATACATTACTGCATACTTCTGTGCTCATCTCACAGCTGTTGCTAAACCCCAAAACAACAAACGTTCTTGTATCCCTAAGTATTTTTCTTCTCCAATGTCAAGCTGCATTACAGGTTCTGTAACTGTTGTCCCTCAGTCTGCTGTGATGAATGCATTGCATTCGATGGTGGTAGTTCTTGGCTGACATCTGTGAGACAGATTGGTGATGTCCCTGCTGCCATATTTGACTTGTTCACCCAGCATCATACATTGCTGGCACCCATGTATGAATCCCCATGTACATGATGGATTCGAATAAAGATAACTGTAACAGAACATTTCTCCTGTATGAGGAATTCACTCACAGCACTCTGGTGAAATGACACATCATTTGTAGCCATTTGGTTCCGAGGGATTATGGCTCAGTGATGGACCATGTGTGCTGTTTTTCAGATTGCAGAAAACTAATGCAGCTTTCTGCTGAGGTGTCTTACAGTAGTGTTTTTACCGAAGTGTAGAATGTAAATAACAAAATTATTAATTAAATAAGTTGTTTACTCTCTTTTATTTGGTTGATATGTGTTAACAGAACGAAATTTACATTCAAATTGTGTTATGTTGGTATGATTGACTGGGACTGGTAGTAAGTAGTGCTGCGCTCTGTGAGTTCGTGTACTGTAGCGAAATAAACAGTCACCTAACAGCCATGTAGTGTTCTAATTTGTTTGCATGATACCGCTTCATACAAAGACTAAGAAATAAAGTTTTACAACATAAGAAATTAACAGGTTATGGGCCCAGGCAGAAAATATTACGCCCTGAAGTGTGTTGTGTGAAATGGTCGAACTTGTTCAGTGATTCGTGTGGGAGTTTTCTCTTTTTTTTTCCGTGGAAAATTGTTAGGCGCGAGAGGGGGGCATCTGTTGAAGAGATCCATTCAAAATGGCGGAGCGAAGTATGTATTATATGGGTAACCAAGAGGAGAAAACTTACGATACCGAAAATAACACGACGCAATTATAATGGGTGGATGGCGCGTGTGAAGTCAGAACTTTTATTACGTGAATGCTGGGAGCCAATCGCTGGATATGAAGACGCGGCAGGAGCGCAATTATCACAAACGGAGATGAGGAGAGTCAAAGAAAACCTTAACAGCATTAGCAGTCATCATAAGAACTGTAAGTGACGAACTGATCAACGACATACATGACTGCAATGACGCCAGAGAAGCATGGGGAATATTGGACAAAGTATGTAACGAAAACACAGAATACGGTGCCATGACAAAACTAAGAGAATTAGCTTGAATACAGAAATTTGAGGATGTAAGCATGCGAGATTACTGCTCAAAGATTATGACTTAATAGGCTACTGAAGAGAAATGATCTTAGATTTTCAGACAGACAGCAGCAACATGTCTTAACTGGACTACCCAAACCCAAATATGAGATAACAGAGAAGACACTGATAGCGCAACCAAATAATTTACAAATAGCAGTAGTTAAGCAATACTTACTTAAAGAAGAGGAGCAAGAAAAGCAAGATGAGGAAGAACATCAGGCACTTAAAGTGAAGAGAAATTACTCAAGGAGACAAACAGAGACGAAAGATGCAGAAGAGAAGCAGAACTGCCAAAATCAACACAGCTATCAGGGCAAAGGGAAATTCAGACCCCGAGGAGGTAAGCAGTATGAGCGTACCAAGCAGCGGTTTTGGTGCTATGCATGTGGGGAAGAAAACCAGATTGTATACAATTGCCCTAGGCGGTTGGAAGGAGCCAATAACAAAGGGAAGATAAACGGTGAAAGGAAGATTAAAGATGTGGAAACCAAAGGTGAGAAGAAGGAGAGGGCCAGCGCATCTCTAGTAACTATGGAGCATATACTACTATGTACTAAGAAGAATATAACAAACAATGGAAGTGTATGGCTGTTCGACAGTGGAGCATCTGATCATATGACAAACAGGAAGGATCTCACGCACAACTTTGCAAGCATAAATGGAGAGGTAGTAGTAGGTGATGGAGCCCCTTTAAAAATTGCAGGAAAGGGAAGGATAACGCTCTAAATGTCCCAGGAATGCGGAGGAAATGATATAGAGTTAAAAGGTGTGCTTTATGTCCCAGAGCTACAAGATAGTCTTAATTTCTCAAGGCCAGATTGAAGAAAATGGACTTAAGATTGTGATGCACAACAGTACGTCGAAAATCATATGTAATGAGATGATGATATTCCAAGCTCACCGAGTGTCAAGGCTGTATTATGTAATGACCCTGGGTAGCACCACTGTGGACAACATCAAGGAGGCATATGACAGGCAGAAGAGTGGAGAGAGTGAGTGTTCACCATGTGATGAGAACCATTCCCAACTGGAGAAGGGGAAAAGGCCGAAGAAGTTTTAGACAGAGTCCACTCTGATGTTATAGGACCAATATCACTTATGTCAATGCGACAGAAGAAATACATCATTATGTTCATAGACGAAGCATCAAGGTACGTAACAGCTGTTGCTATCAGAAGAAAGAGTGAGACATTGGCGGAGTTCATAAAGTACAAAAATAGGGCAGAATTACTGCATGATAAGAAAATTAAAGAGTTACAGACAGACCAGGGGACCGAGTACCTAGAAGCCGGTGTACAGAAATATTTACAGGAAAATGGAATACAGCACAGGAGATCAGTTATCTACACACCTCAGCAGAATGGCTTATGTGAGCGCGTGAATTTAACATTGTGTAATGTGATCAGATGCATATTGATTGAATCAGGACTACGAGTAGCTTTTGGGCAAAGGCATTACAAACAGCTTGCTATATGAGGAACAGGTGCCCATCAGAAGTTATCCAGTTCAAGACACCATTAGAGATATGGAAAGGGAGAGACTTGAAGAAAGAAGACTTCCAACACATGAGGGTGTTTGGGAGCAGGGCATGGGAATGGGTCCCCGATGCACACCAAGAAGGGAAATTTAGCCTTTGTGCAAGAGAATGTGTGTTCCTTGGTTATGATGATGGAACAAAGGGGTACCATCTCTGGGACAAAGAATGTAGAGTGATAATTAATAGTCGAGATGTTAAGTTTCAGGAACACACATTCCCATACCTGGAAAGGTGATATCATCAAGCGAGGAAACGACCCTAATACGAATCGGAGAAACACCAGATGAACAGGGACTTCTAATTGGAGAGAACAGCTTAGATCAGGATGAAATAACTTACACTGGTGACAATATACGTCCAACGAGAGGTACTGGACCAAAAGGAAGAGAGGGCTCAGTCACCATCTCAACCAAGAAGGACGGAGAGGATTAAATACTCAAAGCCAAGGTTTGAGCTACCATGTTGCATGAGAGCCACACACCTGACGTCCGAGGAGACTGTATCACCACTGGAAATTATTCCTACAGTTCATGAGGCACTCAGCGGCCCCAGGAGCTGGAAACGATGAGGAACCAGGAGACGTGGGAATTAGTTAAGAAACCAGAGAACTGTAATGTCATAGGATGCAAGTGGGTATTTACAGTCAAAACTATCAATGGAAGGATTGTTAGATATAAAGCTAGATTAGTGGCTCAGGGTTTCAAGCAGATTCATGGGGTGGACTACACAGAGACATTTATTTAGTCCAGTACTTCACAAGAAAACGATGAGGACACTTCTAGCTATTGCTGTAGAGAGACAGTGGGAAATGATACATATAGATGTGACTGGGGCTTACCTGAATAGCAAACTTGAAAATCTGATCTATATGAAGCAACCCCCAGGTTTTGAGGAGAGGGGAGACAGTTTTGTCTGTAAGCTTCGAAACAGCATCTCAGGCCTTAAGCAGTCAGGTAGGGACTGAACAAACATTTGCATTGAATCTTGGTAAATAAGTTAAGTTTTAAACGGTGTGTAAAGGACGCTTGTGTATATGTAAAGAAATCAATTGTTTTAGCAGTATATGTAGATGATATGCTTTTAATTGGCAAAGGAGAGGTATGAAAGAAATTCGAGAGAAGCTATCAGATGACTTGGATGTGAAAGATCTGGGTGAAGTTTCAAAATTTTTGTCCATTAATATCAGAAAGGGAGGTAGTGGTGAGTTAATCCTAGAGCAAGAAAAATATATTGACTGGCTGTTAGGTGAATTCAATATGGGAAACTGGAAAGGGCTTAGTTCACCATTGGAAGTTGGATGTATTAACACTGATAGGGCTACTGAGAAGAAATTTTGTCAATCTATTTACTGTAAGGTTGTAGGATGCCTTCAAGACCAGGTATCACAAACCCTGTCTGTATAGTTAGCCAACACTGCAAAGACCCTACTTTCACAAAGTGGAATAATGTTAAGCACATTTAAAGAAGACCAAAAGTTACAGATTACATTTTTGTAAGACAAACAAGGAGACTTCTGTGTTTACAGATTCTGATTGGGCTACTAATAAGATGGACAGTATTTCTGTTTCAGGATATTGTTTCATACTAGCAGGAGGAGTCGTATGTTGGCGTAGCAAGAAACAAAACCGAGTTGCCGTTCTTCTACGCGTTATGTGTACATGGCAAAATATGAATGTGTCTCGGAGTTCGAATGGTTTAGGGACTTTCTTCTACATGAGGTAGGACAGGAAGTATTAAGTACCATTATTCTAGGGAACTAGTCAAAGTTGGTGAGATCACATTTGTCTGTGTCGAGTCATGTAAAAACTTTGCTGATGTTTTTACTAAACCACTTTCTGGTCCCAAGACAAAGGAATTTTTCAGATTATTAGATTTATATTAACTGAACCTTAAGATTGCAATAATTTAAGATAAGTGCACTTTGTTTATGACTTGATTTTTCTCTCAGAATTTTAATGTATGTGAGACAAATATAATATTGTAAACAGAATTTTAACTTTTGTGTTTTGTAATTGAACAATAGGTGTGTTCAGGTTAAGTGGTTAAGTGGTTCGTACAATTGAAATTACTTTGAATTTTATATTTTCAAGGAGAGGTGTTAACAGGACAAAATTTAGATTCAAATTGTGTTGTGTTGGTATGATTGATTGGGAGTAAGTAGTGCTGCACTATGTGAGTCAGCGTACTGTAGTCAAATAAACAGTCATGTGGTAGCCATGTAGCATCCTAGTTTGTTTACCTGATACCTTTCATACAAAGACAAAGAAAGAAAGAACGAAAGTTTTACAACATAATAAATTAACAATATGCAAGTGAAGTGCATAGGAATTAAAATCAACTTTAACTGCGGACAATCAGATCTGTACAGTGAGTGATGCTAGACAAATCTGTTCTAATTGGGGTTTTGAGGTTGAATTAACAGGATTTTTAGATCAGATGGGACAGGGGTGGCACAAAACCGGGAGGAGGATATATATATTTTTCTATGGGAAGGGGAATGAAAATCATGAATTATGTGTGGGTTTTTTCGTATATAAGAGAATCACATCAGCAGTTAAGAGGGTAGAGTTTGTTAGCGACAGGATTTCATAATATAAATACCTAAGAGGTTGCTGGAACAAGAGCATCAGAGAACCATATAGATGAATAAATGATTTTAAGAATGGTTACCAGCCTAGAAGTAATGTAATGAGGGATGAGAATGGTGATCTGCTTGCAGATTTCCACGACATTTTGAAAAGGTGGAAGAACTACTTTTCCCTGTTATTGAATGTACATAGGTTCAGTGATGTTAGGCAAATAGATATATGTACCTCTGAGCTGTTAGTATGTGACCCTACCCGTTTTGATGTTGAAATTGCTATAGCAAGGTTGAAAAGTTATAAATCACCATGCAGTGATCAAATTCTGACAGAACTGATTCAGGCAGGAGGTGAAATATTACCTTCTAAGATTCATAAGCTAATTCTATTTGAAATAAGGAAAAACTGCCTGATCAGTGGAAGGAGTCTATTGTACCAGTTCACAAGAAGGGTATTAAACTGACTGTAGTAATTATCATGTGATATCACTGCTATAAACTTCATACAAATGTTTACCCAATATTCTACTCTCAAGGTTAAAATCATTGGGGATCGTCAACGAGGGTTTTGATGTAACAGATGAACTATTGATCAGATTTTTGTACTCATCAGATACTGGAGAAAAAGTGGGAGTAGAATAAAACAGTACATCAGTTGCTCGTATATTTCAAAAGCCTATGAGTCGGCTAGGAGGGAAGTATTGTACAGTATTCCCTTAGAGTTTGGGGGTACCCTTGAAACTAGTTACACTGATTACAACTGATTACAATATTTTTAAATGAAACATATAGTAAAGTCCATATAGGTCAGCATTTGTCTGATAATTTCCCTGTCCAAAAAGGTCTAAAACATGGAAATGCTATATCACCACTACTATTCAACTTTGCTTCAGAATATGCCATTAGATGGGACTGAAATTAAATGGGACACATCAGCTGCCGGTCTATGCTGTTAATGTGAATCTACTGGGTGATAATATACTGTAGATACTATAAAGAAAAACACAGAAACTTTAGTTGACACTAGTAAGAAGTCTGGTCTAGATATAAACACAGAGAAAACTAAGTATATGTTGCTATCTTGTTTTGGTATGCAGGGCAAAATCGTGACATAAAGATAACTAACAGATGTTTTGAAAATGTGGCACAGTTCAGATATGTGGGAATGACTATAACACATCAGAACCTGATTCAGGAGGAAATTAAGAGGAGATTGAATTCGAGTGATGCTTGCTACCATTCAGTCCAGAATCTTTCGTCTTATAATCTGCTTTCTAAAAACAAAAAATAGAATATAGGTAAGTATAATTTTGCCTGTGGTTCTGTATGGGTTTGATACTTTGTCTCTGACGTTAAGGGAGGCACATAGACTGAAGGTGTTTGAGAACGGTGTTGAGGAGAATATTTGGACCGAAGAGCAATAAAGTGTTAGGAGGTTGGAGAAAACTACACAATGAGGAGCTTCATAACTTTTACTCTTCACCAAGTATAATTAGAGTGATCAAGTCAAGAAGGATGAGATTGGCAGGACATGTAACATGAATGGGGGGGGGGGAGAAGAATGCATATAGGATATTTTTGGGAAAGCCAGAAAGAACGAGACCACTAGGAAGACCAAGATTTAGATGGATGGACAATGTTGAGATGGATCTTAAGGAGATAGAATGGGATAGTATGGACCAGATTGATCTAGATCATGACAGAGACTAGTCGAGGGCTGTTGTGAACATGTTAATGTACCTTTGGGTTCCATAAAATGTTGGGAAGTTCTTGAGTAGATGCACAATTGGTGGCTTCTCAAGAAGGGCTCAGCTCCATGAGTGAGAGATTGACAGTGTTTAGCAAATATGAATATATTATTAATATTTGTAGCTAAATGTCTGGCACTAATGGTCTTTCTAGAAAGTTTGGAATTTGTCGTAGGTGGGTCACCAGTGACCTGATTTGTACACACTGTGGCTACTGCCTGTGCAAACACCAGCACCATCCACCAGACAGGAGTGTGCCATGACATTATATCCCTTGTAAGTACCAGAAGCGTGTGAAGCAACAGGAGGGGAGAATCAGGCACCTGGAAAAGGAATTTAAGCTAATTAGTTAGGAAATTTGTAAGCTGAAAGCAGGAAACGTCAGCAGTAACTTCATGGAGCAGGATAATTAATGAAATTAGAAAAAAGCAAAGAATTGCAATGTGGTCCAAGTCTATAGGGACTAGCTGTATTGATTGGGCCCAACTGAGCAGGTTTCACCTGAAGATGTAGACAGAATCAAGGAGGGTGTGCTATGGCATCATTGTTCACAAACTAACAATACATCATTTTATCTACCATAATGTAAAGAATGGCCAAAGAATATTACTGACAAATGCTCTGAATTAATAGCACTTCAAAAAATACTAGTTCTGCTAGTTATATTGCAGTAATGTCCCACAACACACCAATCTTCTGATCATGAAGGAATTTTCAAAGTCTGTTTCAGACCAATACTGCTACAATACCTGTTATTCCAAGCATCAGTACAGCTGGTCTGATGGTTCAGGATTAATCAGTAAAAGTCGTTAAGTTGAGGTCAAGAGGACTGGCATGTACTGCCCAAGAGAAATTTACAAAAATGTGTTGTACTCTCACAGTCAATTTATTCAGTTGTTTTGCTTGTTTAATTTTAGGTGGCAGTAGATTTAACTTTTTAGTTTCTATGTTTTGCAGTAAAAGCCTTTGCCTCTTGAGTTAGTAATTTATGAGGTGAATGTTCTACTCTGGCATCAGTTTCATCGAGCTTTTCCTCAGCACAGTATTATGTAATGTATTTCTTGCAGAAGAAAGACTCAGTTAAATTCCCTTTCTTCACCAATTTGAAAATTACTGATGAAGCTTGACCTTGAATACCAGAATGGTTATGGCGAGACATTTTCTTTTTTTTATAAGTATCTGACAGAAGACCCCATTATTTAAGTGTAAACATCGCCGTTGCACATCAGTGCTCTAACTGAGATTATAAGACAGATTTGTTAATGGCTTATTAGAACAGAAACACAAGGGGAACTGATACATATTGCACTGAGTCATTTGCAGCTGCAGTTGAAGTGATACAAGATAAAGAGCAACAGAGGCATTCACAGTAACACCACCTGGTGGTCTCTCCATTCATTTATTGCTTAAAGCACTTTCACCTAACCTCTACTACATTTCGTTCTCATAGTCGGGGCAGCAATTTCTTTTCCATAAATTTTAATTCTAATGCCCTTCTTGGTATCTTTGTTATGCCCATTCTTTTACATGGCCTAGCCATTCTACTCATTTTTCTTTTAAGTCCTTTAACAAATTTTGAATTCTAATTTTCTATATAAAAAACCTTTGTTTCTAACACAAGATCCCCTTTCTCCTTGAGTACTTTTAAAGAATGTTATATTCATTGCTGTGATTTTGCCTTTGTTTCGCCTTGTTTCAGTATTTTATTGTGACATGACTACTTAAAGGCTCGATAAACAAGCGAGCTGTCACTAGGCAATGGCTCATCAAGATGTCAGCAACAGTGAAAGAGCTGTTGGAAGCTGTTTTTCCTCTGCAGTCTGACCTGAGGCTATATAGTAAGGACAAGTGAGCAACTTAATTAGTTCAGTTCTGAGTTAGTTGCAAGCCATCTGCCATCCAGTGAGGACATGAGTATGGAAATAGAGCCGTTACCAGGCAACGATTGATGAAGGCATAGAAAGCTTTATGTGTGCTGCAATACAGTGATTTGTAGAGAGAGTAGATCTATGAAATGGTTATATTACTTGTAGTTATGAGTTGTAAGTGTTTAACAAATTCAGTTACCCATCAAAACCCTGTGTCTGTTCGCTAACACATGAAATATTATCATGTGTAGAGTGTGTGTGACTATAGACAGACTTTGGATTGGTAAATGGATTTATTGTCCACTAATACACATAACTCAGAACTACAAACAAATTACAGCACCACCACTAATCTTCCCAACTTCTCGTGCAGAACTCAACTCAGCTGTCAACTGAACGTGTTGCTCCAACTGCCCTGATTATAACATCTTGGCACAGACCACATAGAAAACACCATTCTTCTATTGTTACTTGAATATTTGTTGCCATGTAAATGTGTTTGCCAGCTGTTGCCTAGAAACTGTTGCTGTTTATTCACCTTATCTCACAGTCGTTGCATAGCAAAGGCTGCACACTCTGCAGTAAGCATTCGAAATGTACTGTGTAGATTGTTGTTTTGCATTGCTTTAGTATCTGTTCCACAGTATTCCTTTCATAATTCAATAGCATTATAACAAGCCTTGTACAGGCTTGATCTCTGACTGCATTTCATGACTTATTAAGGAACAGAGTTCATCTAGCATTATTCCTATCTGGCGTAGTCGTTTTAAGCAGTAATGGTGATGAATTAAAGGATTTTCCCATTTAAGATTAATTTATGGAGTAGTTTATTTGAACACTAAATTGAGGAATGTCTTAAAACTGGCTTGGGGTTATTGAAATTGAATGTGAGGGAAAATGTTAAATCATGGGACATTAAATAGGCTTTCCCCTGTTTGTAGGAATGCATCCTGAATGTATTTTGAAGACTAAACCTGTGTCTTATAAAAATTTGTCCTCAGATCGGTTTATCATCCTGGTTTATTTTGTTTGCACATATGGTTAGTGCAACAGGCAGCAGTTTCTCTCTTGAAGCATGTAGTATGGTGTTGCATGTAGCGAGGTAGAGGAACTCCTCTACCGTTGGCCACCATTTCTAGAAGTCAAGCCAACGGTGGTGGAGTTACCACTCCTCACTACACTTCATTTCTGCTCGTGGCATTACAGCCTGCAACAAATCATAACAATTTATGTTGCATTTACTAATCATTACCTTCATTATGCAATTCAATATATAATCACTGGCAAAATTTACTCGTTGTTACACTCAGTCTGTAATGTCTAATTTAAATATTCTCCAAACAACTTTGAAAATAATTTATAATAATGAAAAGTACCATTCATAATTTGTACACTTTTCCATTTGTCATTAGATCGTTTGCAGATGTTCTTACATCTTTGCCATGTTCCATTAGGATCAAATTAAGGATGATAAGATGTATCGGACATATGCCATGGGAAAGATGAATAATGGATACGAAGTTTTTGTTGTTAAACATGATTTGAAAGATATAGACATATGTGGGAGAATAATATTAAAATGAATTCTAAAGGTATATTGTGGGAGGGTTGTGACTGGATTCACCTGGCTTAGGATAGGGACCAGTAACAGGCTCTGTTTAACATTGTAATGGACCTTTAGGTTCCATAAAAGTTAGCTTCGCAAAAGGATTACACATATTTCATGAAGTTAGTTACATACTCATTCTCCTTACAGATGTTTAAGTTTATTTTCAGAAGAAATTCGTCGATATAAACTGAATGGCTGGAAAGAAATGGGAAAAATGGAGAAAGGAATTGTGTGTACAGCCTTGGAGATGGAACAGATTAAAAAGCCAATCCAGGAAGAGGAAAAAGAAGGAGGAGGAGGAGAAAACATGATGAAATCATAATACAGAGATGTTTTGAAGCATGATTTTTCTATAAGCAAGCTGGTTTGAAGCCATCACTCCAAATTATGGATTTTGTTTTCAAATCTTGCAACACTGAGCACATCCAGTAACCCAATGGATGCCCTTCAGTTATTCAGTGGTTCACAGTGCAGATTGTAGTCACTGTCAAACTAGGCGAGAAGAAAATTAGTTGTGGTGAACTGGAAGAGTGTGAGAGATTTAAGTCTTTTGCTGACATTCTGGAGGAACAGGATGCCTCCATCTTCAGGGTTAAAGTCTAAAGGTTGAGGAATAGGTTTGGTTATATAGGCAGGTTGAATATCATGACATTATATCAAAGTATGTTTCTTTCTTGATTTGTAATTTTTTGCCCTTTTCTTTCTGGTGAAATTTAACAATTTTTTGGGTGTTTAAATGGTTTTGAGTGATCAGTTGAGACTCCTGTAAAAGTCATCATGGCTGAATGAAATATCTCAGATCTTAATGACTCTGTTATAACTTAGTTTGGTGCTGACTTTTAAATGTGGAGTCTCAGGATCAATTCCGGGTAATTTCATATGAGATTTGTTGTGAACAAAGTGCCATTGTTGCAGGTTTCTTTCCAAGTTTCTTCAGTGTTCCTCAGGTAAAAAAGGTGAGATGGTAAAGTAATCCCTGTAGCTGGCTGTGGAGGCCCAAAGAGTTGCGAGACAACTAGGCAGTCAGGTCACAGATGGCAGTGAGGTTCTTGGTACTCATTTCAGTTAGTGGCTGAGTTAACCCCAGGGCCATATTGTGGTTGAAAGGATTAGGTCTATTAAAGAATCTAGTGACCTCATTGGGAAACAAACCTCGATCTTCCTCAGTCACTCATTATTCCACCACTGTCATATACCAGTCTAGCACTGCTTCCTGACCCATGTGATAGATGACTAGATATCATTATCACATCCTTGATCTCTATCTTTGGGGCTTCATTCATCTTTGAACTGGCACTGCAAAGTGGGTATTTTTTATTGTAGTGACAATGGAATGTGAGATTGGAAGTTATAATGGAAGTAACTATAAAAATTATTGTCACCAGGAATGTGACGCCATTTAGTTTGGCAAGATTTCAGAAGATCCTGCTTTCTCCATCTTCTACCCTGAAGATATAAGTGACAGTTTCCTCTTAGTCTGTAATGCATTTCTCATGATGAAATGGGATATCACTACTATCAGCACTTGATCTGCTAAATAGATACATCTTCCTGCTCTTTGATATGGGAGCTCTAGATTAAATTTTCTCTTCTGTTAGTATCAGACTAATGTAAGTCATTTGTTGCCAGTTATTTCCTCTCTTCTTGATGTCTTTCTATTACCTGGCTGAACCATCTTTATCCGAGTCATCCCACAGGCCTCATTCCTTCAATCTGAAATCTCGGCATTTTCATTCTATCCCATGCCCTTTCATGACGGAACCACTACAACACTACATTCTTATCCCTTCCAGATTTTTTTATCATATTGACTTCCAGCTACTCTTTCTTGTTGCTTTCTTGTTCTTTCTATCTGTTGCTAGAGTTTTGCCTTTGTTTCTTCTTTAAGGTTAAATTTCCTTATTTTAAGTTAAAATCAGTTAAAACTAGATTGCACAGAGTGTGGTTTTGCGCCGTTTTTGGGTCTCTGCCTTCCTGTAACTTAATTTAACTGTTTTGTATGCTCCATCAATTTTCTCTTCTGATTGTATCTTGCTTCCCAAATAAATGTGTTCACCTTTTCAGTTATTGTGTCTAAATCTTGTTCTGTTTTCTTCTTGATTTTTTATAGTAAAATTCCATTGACTTAGTTTCTCTTAAATTTCAGTTTCATCTTTCGCAAAATCAATACATCTTCTGCAAATAATAATGTTTTCATGTCGAGTCTTTTATTTCTTTATGACACTACTTTCAGTGTCACCCAAGAGACTACCTTTAAATTAATGGTGGAAATGGAGGGTTCCATGGATTTAAATGAAACACATACAAGTTTTGAAGAAGATACCTGAGGTTTTTTCAGTTTGGTTCATTGTATACATAGAAGAAGATATTCCATTTTGAATGTTAAAGATAGTCATTTTATGTATAAATATTATTTTTTATCAGAAAGGATTTTGAATAGGACCCCCCTTTTTCTTAGACTAAGGCATGAATTCAGGTCTTTTTCTTTGGTCGGTGGCTGATCAGCTGTCATCTCGTGATATCCGAGGCCACCACTTTAACACATTCTTTTTAATTCCAGTTACCGCAATGGTTCTCTCTGATTTCTGTACACTCAGTGTTCAGGTTCATTCAAAAATAGTCATCAGATGGATTTAAATAGGGAGAATCTGGTGACTATTCTGTGGGTTTGACACATTTAATACTAGCATCATTAGAAATTTTGACAGAGGATAATACATGATATGCTCTACATACCTTATAGGACTTCATCAGTTTTATCATTCTGGAGAGTAATTTTTGCACTACCAGATATAAACAGAGACTGGATTCGAGCAAGATGAAGAGCACTCTCTTGAACTCTTATATCTGAAAACAAAGAACGGGTAAGAAATATAAGTGTTTGAATCCTTGAGAGTCAGTTTATAAATACGCTTCAGCCTTAGGCATGTCAGCCCGATAATTTTACAGAACATTAAATTTTATCCAAATATGTCTATTTGCAGACACCTGTAAGCTTAGAATTGGCGCCTGGACGTCACTGCTTCCCTGTATATGAATGCTAAATGACGTTTTCACTTCTCAGGCTATGTAAACGAGCAGGGCTTTCGATGACCATATAGAAAGAACTCATCAGCATCGGGTTCGGTCTCAGAACGTTACAGCGAGGCGCGCCGTTTGTATGTATGTGTCCCTCACCACTTCAATTTTCTTTTCATTTCAACTTCTGTTTAGTTGCTCTGGACTTTATGCCGCAGAAGACCATCTGAATGCCCTACTTCTAATTCCTACACTCTGTAATACAAGCTTAGGGAACTCTTGAATGACGCTAACATCACTTTATGTAGAATACTGAAGTGAATTGTGGTTGTATAATTTTGGAAAATATTGTAGCACGTAGACCCGTTGATATTTAGTGACTCTGTAAACAACTCCCGTTGTTAGGCAACAGATTATTAACACACGCCAATGGACTTGCTGGAAAGTAATATTTTCAGCACGGTACTCGCTGATGGCTGCGCACGCAACAGTGGATACAGCAACAGAGGAACGGTGTTTTCTGTGCTGTCCATGTCTAGATGTTACAAGCAGGACAATTAATGAAGCGAGTGCAGTTGGTTGGTGAATTAGAGGACTACTGCCGTTCAGTTATTGTGAGAAGCTGGTAGCTGAGGCACAGAGACATTTCGGTAACCCAGAGGAAGAGGAACGTCCGCCGTTGGAAGCCGCTACCGAACAACAGCTAGTGAAGATGTGACTGTGTGATAGTGGTTCCTAAAGTGTAGACACGAGTTGTACAAGTATAAGAGTTCAATAAATGCATTTACCAAACCAAACCCTGTCTATAGTGACCCTACCAGACGTCACAATATGCAGCTTTTGTTAAGGTATCGTAATTGTGTTCTGGGATGTAAAATAACAAACAGCAGTGCGAGAATGTGTTTTAGCTTCCTGTTCGATGTTGATGCCTTCAACATCAGAGTACCCTGATGAAAGTGTAAGCAACATGCCATTCCGACAATTTGTACCTTTCTACGAGAGGTCACATCCCAGAAGACAGTGTTCATATTCACCGCCATGAGAACTTGAAATCCAGGTTGGGGTAGTCTTGAATCTGACACAGTAAAATGTGGTTATGAGTTCCTTGGAACTCGGGCCTGAGAATGACTGCGCTGGCCATGCCAGACACAATTGTAAGCAACAGACCCATCTCGGCAGAGAGAATGTTACGTAAGGTCTATAACCGCATGTGTTCAGTTGAAAAATAATTTTCAGTTGTGAGCATCAAGGGGCTTGTCTCCAAGATTAACTGATCGGCGGTAAACCACCAGTCGTAAATTAGCTCTGACTCTGACAGTACAGTTGGAGTGAGTAGTAGAGTTGCACATCTCCCAGAGACGTAAGGCAGTAAAATATGGTCATGAGTCTCGTAACCAAGAATGACTGTTCTGGCGAGGGCCAGCAGAGTTTGCCAGATAGTTCCGTTAATTAGTGGAATGAGTTTGATGATGAGTCAGCTAGAGTGCTGTAGCAGTTCGGTCCTTGTGAACTGTTGCTTTTAGAAATTGGTAGCTGAGGCATGGGGATGGTTCGGGAACCCAAAGGGAACATCCAACGTTCAAAGTCGTTACCAGGCAAAGAATGGTGAAAAAACAGCAGACTAAGAAGACTTAGTATGTGCTGTAGATGTCTACATAGTGTGTGAATTAGGGATAGCGCTATAATTAATTTTAGTTACGATCTCAAAGTGTTCAATAAATCCAATTAGCAATCCAAACCCCGTCTATAGTCACTCATGTGTGACACTATACACCACCAAGAGAACCTCAATTTATTTCTTTCGTCACTTCCACTTGAGCCAAACAATATTGGGGCCCCTTCCTATGGGGAAGAGAGAGAAACGGGGGGGTGGGTGTGGAGGGGCGAAACAAGCCGACGGCCCAGTACATCAGTCTCAAGCACGAGAGTTATCCAGAATCTGAGACATGTCTACCAGCCTGGGTGTTCATGTACGAATTTGTTTATTAAATTAGATAGTATATCGTGTGAACTGTTATAGACAAGGGCCACGGAATTCTTATTTTTGGTTAATTTTGATTTTAATTTTTTCGAAAGGGAAATTGTGGTCCTCTAGGGGAAATGGTTTAAGTTTGATTAGTTTAAATATGGAAGGGTGTGTGAGGAACAGGAGACCATAAAGTAAGTAAATTTGTTCCTGTGCTTAACTATTTAAGCACTACACCATGAAGACGTATGGGGGAGTGGATGTATAGATCCGCATTTTCTTGGTCTTGGCACTAGCTACAGGTGAGTGGTCAGCTTCACGCCCCAGCGAAAGAGCCCCCGATACCTATTGAATAGGTTGGGTGAACCTCAGAGCCGGTCTGGACGATGCAGAGAAAGGAAAATTCTTGACCCTACCAGGACTCGAACTCCGGCCCCTCGGTCGTCCAGCCAGTCGCTATACCGACTACGCTACCCATGCTCCTGCAAGGATACCATAACAAAAACAAAACTGTTCAGAACCGCTGCACTGCTTCAGGCAAGTAATGCGTCTACCTATCATTTTATTTTTAACTGTTCTTCCATACAATATCCCAGACCGAAGGGTCGCACTTTTCAACCGTCTCCCTTTCAATGTACGAATGAACCCTCAGCATCTGATAGAAGTGTTGTATGGGAGGAATACGGAACAGAAGAGTGTTGAGGAGGGTGGTATAAAAACAGGCCACCGACGGTTCGCAACCCATAAAGCACTAATTAGATCTGTGAAGACTTATGCTCACTCCGCCCGGAAATTTGCGGCAGGTACCTATGTAATGAAATTGCACCGCCTGCAAACCAAGGTTCTCCGCAACAATGGCAATTTCCCAAGGCGCACACGGCTTTCAACCTTTCGTATGTATAGTGTGACATGTTGCACTATACGTGACGGCCTTCCCTCCCACCGCCAGCCGTGACACCCCGAGCGGAGCCGAAGTTAGCCGAGTGTCGGCATACTGGTCGCATGCAACGCGAGTCAACAGCGGTGACGTCACCAAGGGATACCACGGTTGCTAGGCAGCAGTAAACAACTCCGGACAGCGTTGCTACCAACACGGCACCACACAACAATGGTGCCTATTACGTGGCTGTTTTCTTTTTTCTGTAATCTCAGGTCTATGAACTGGACTATCAGTGTCACTGCTGCTGCTTTCAGAACGATTATGACATCTTTCTGCGCTTCCGTTCTCGTTCAAAGAGGCTGTCTGTACTGTCGCTGTTGCTCTCAGAGCCTTCTGTTCGGGTAACCGATTTCTTCCTTTTTTCTGTAATCGCAGGTCTAGGAACTGGGCGATCAGTATCACTGCTGCTGCTTTCAGAACGATTATGACATATTTCTGCGCTTCCGTTCTCGTTCAAAGAGGCTGTCTGTACTGTCGCTGTTGCTCTCAGAGCCTTCTGTTCGGGTAGCCGATTTCTTCCTTTTTTCTGTAATCGCAGGTCTAGGAACTGGGCGATCAGTATCACTGCTGCTGCTTTCAGAACGATTATGACTTATCTTTCTGTGTTTCTCGTCTCGTTCAAAGAGGCTGTCTGTACTGTCGCTGTTGCTCTCAGAGCCTTCTGTTCGGGTAGCCGATTTCTTCCTTTTTTCTGTAATCGCAGGTCTAGGAACTGGGCGATCAGTATCACTGCTGCTGCTTTCAGAACGATTATGACTTATCTTTCTGTGTTTCTCGTCTCGTTCAAAGAGGCTGTCTGTACTGTCGCTGTTGCTCTCAGAGCCTTCTGTTCGGGTAGCCGATTTCTTCCTTTTTTCTGTAATCGCAGGTCTAGGAACTGGGCGATCAGTATCACTGCTGCTGCTTTCAGAACGATTATGACTTATCTTTCTGTGTTTCTCGTCTCGTTCAAAGAGGCTGTCTGTACTGTCGCTGTTGCTCTCAGAGCCTTCTGTTCGGGTAGCCGATTTCTTCCTTTTTTCTGTAATCGCAGGTCTAGGAACTGGGCGATCAGTATCACTGCTGCTGCTTTCAGAACGATTATGACTTATCTTTCTGTGTTTCTGGTCTCGTTCAAAGAGGCTGTCTGTACTGTCGCTGTTGCTCTCAGAGCCTTCTGTTCGGATAGCCGATTTCTTCCTTTTTTCTATAATCGCAGGTCTAGGAACTGGGCGATCAGTATCACTGCTGCTGCTTTCAGAACGATTATGACTTATCTTTCTGCGCAAAATTGTGTAGGCGACAAGCAGAAGTCATACAAAATCATGAGAATGAGCATATTCGCGGCATAGGACAAGGCGAAGCCAGACATAGGGAATATAGACGTTTAAACTTGGCAGTGGCCAAACTTACGACCGTACAAGTCACTACACTGCCGTTGTAGCAGGAGCTGCTGAAGATACGAGTAGATGATATGCTGTTTTCAACCTAGGCTGAAAGAGGCCTTGTAAATATTGTATATACATACCGTATTTACGCATGTATAGGCCGCACATTTTTGCCAAAAATTCAAGAGGAAAACTGGGGTGCGGCTTATATTCGAAATATTCGAAATCACACTTCATTTAAAAAAATTATATTCGTAATTAGTATAATAATTTCTACTCCTGAAATAATATTCCAAGAAAATTATTTTTCTATAATTTCTGTCTGAAAATTGTGCTGCGGCCTGTACACGCACGCGGCCTACACATGCGTAAATACGGTATATAATTTATTCTACCATGTATTGTATAACTGTAAATAGAATATACATATTGGTAATTGACGGACTTGCTGCTGACTATGACTAACAAATGGCAGAACCGTCATCTCGTTAGAGGAGGCACCCGATATCGACAAAATCATAACTGTCTAGCAGTAACTACAATCTGGGGCTCGACA